CACTGACAGACAGCAAGAAGATGGACGGATGGAAGGCTATGGCGGAATCAGGGAGCCTGAAGGTTGCCACCTGGGGGGGCAGCCAGACAGAAGAAGATGGATCCTTTTCCAAGCATGCTTTTTGGGGAGGGGGGGTCCCAAGCTAGCCAGCTGCTCTGAGTGGACCTCTACCCAAAAGTAACCAAGTTTGTCTAAGGCAGAGATGAACCGTTTGAGAACTCCTCAAGAACATCCCGCCCTGAAGAAACAAGAGTTCGGGACAACCGGTGTCTTCCCCAAGCAAATCGTCTCAGGACAACAGAATTATCCGTTGCGAAAGCAAAAAAACTAAAAAAATATCAGGATCTTTTTTTCAGCAAGCAGAAGCCGCTTCAGGAGAAGATTTGGGACCCAAGAGACACTCACGGTTTGTTCTCCGAAGAGCTTCGAAAACAGGTTCCGTGTGCCTGGCCCAAGATGAAAGCCAGAGACGGCAACATCTGGGAGCGCCTGAAGGGGAATTTTGCCCTTAATTATGCCAACAAATCTGATCCCAGTGAAGGTGGCAGGAGGAACAAAACATTACTTTGCAAGGGAAATCGGAGACCCAGAAGTCAGCACCAGTTCCACACCCACACGGACGTCCACAGGATGTGGTCACAAAAGGTCCACCCACAGTCACAGGCGTCAGGAACGTTCCACGTGTCCATATTTTCTGCGTGCTGGAACGTCCACGTGGAACTTCGATCCCACCAACTTAGGGCCCCTATCTGGCCTTTTGGGGACCCCCCCCCAGCCCACAAACTGGTCTCCCTGACAAATTATTTCCCTGCCTCCCCCCCCCCTCCTGCTCTTCCCATCACACCTGGGGACTGAGCAAAACCACCCACGGTTTCTCAATTGTCGCCCGGATTATGTGCACGGCGATATAAGTGCCGTGCTTGGTTCATGGCGCATTTGCGAGATGCTCAGGATGGAGCGGGATTATTAAGCGTGATTAAAAGGCCTTGCCTTAGAGACAGCGAGCTAATTGCTCCGCGTGACAAGGGGAGCTTAAGTAGGCCAGGGGAGAGGCCTCCGCTCGCTCATGAGGTGGCATTTAACAGCTTGGCTTGGTGGTGTACACAAGCCACTCAGCCTTCCAGGCGTGCCTCGGTTGCCCAATCTGCCAAAAGCAGGTTACATGGCTGCGTCCTGACCTCCCATGGAGAAGAGGCCCTGTTCAATCATGATCGCCTCGCCCAGAGATACATCTTCCAAGGCCTGGAATGAAGGCGCAGCCGATCAAAAGGAACCGAAAGACGATGGTTGAGAAAACACGGTTGAGACAGCCTGTTCAACGTTGAGCCCGTTCCCTCCCACTGGGCAAACCCCAAAACAGCTGGCACCGTGGCCAGATCCTGACACGTCTCAGTCGCAACAGGTCCACAAGCACCACGTAGGCAAAGGGTGGCCTCGTGAGGACCTCTCGGTTTGGGAGTTCGGCATGTGGCGATGGTCGATCTATCTCAGCCGCTTCTAGAGGCCTCTTAGCCACCTATGGTCCACCTGGTGTGTCCTGGGGAGGGCAGGAGGGGGCACACTAGGGATCTGGACTTCTTTGCCACCGAGGAATTTTGGGTTCTTGGGTCAAGGTAACTGGGTGGGGCCTCTTTCCTCGAGGACATCCCCGTAAGTAGGACATGGGAGAGCCACAGACACTGTCTCCACCATTTCTGGATGGCGATTTTTTCCCCAAGAATCCCCTGCAAGACCCCTGTTGGAAACTGGGGAGCAGAGCAAACAAAAGACCACCTTCCCCAGAAGGCAGTGGCGATTCCAGAGAGTCGAGCTTTTGCAACGTGACCTGTTAGAGAACGGGTTCCCACTTTGCAACCTCGCAGCTTATGTAGGGACTCAAACACAGACAGGCCCAAAGTGTGTTCTGCTGGCTCTTTCACGTGCGTGTGTGTGTGTGTGTGAGAGAGAGAGGGGAGGGGAGAGGGAGAGAATGAATTAATTCCTGGCACAAACAGCTCTGAACTTAATCAGCTCCTGAACTGCGTTTCTCCCCTTTTCCTTCTTTCAACCAACAACTGATGCGCCCGTGCAACAGATCAGAGCCAGATCCAAAAACCTTCGCCCAAAACTGGATCCTGCCCCAATAACCACATTTTGGGTTTTCCCAGGTGTCCAAAACCTTATTCTGCACCGACGGTCCACGCAATCCACTCGGCGAGATCAATCAAAGTCAAAACCATACAGACTCAGCTCGATTAAATCTCGGATCGTTTCAGGGTGTTGCACAAATCCAGCCTGTTTGGCTGGTTCACTTTTGGCGTATTGTGAGGATCCAGAATCCTGTGACTTACGTTTCTTTTTAAAAAGGAGGTTTGGCTACCGAGATCCTTGATTTTTCCCTTTAAGCAAGAAAAGTCAGTTAAAGTCTTGCCTATAAGAACCAGAAGCAACCTTCATTTAAGTTTTTTAGAGTTTGGGTGTTTTTCTATTGTTGTTGTTGTTTGATTGTTTATGTGTGCCTGTTTGGTTTGTTTTTAACTGTGTGGGCAGCTGATAGTTGGGTGTGAAAAATGAGTGGCTGTACAAACTGAATGAATGACCTTTGCTTGTAAATAAATCCCATTAGACCAGGGGTGTCCAACCTTGGCAACTTTAAGACTTGTGGACTTCAACTCCCAGAATTCCTCAGCCAGC